ACACATCCCACCCCCTATATGCCACCGTGTGCCCACTCCAGACCCTATATATGCATGTGTCATGAGGATGTTTTATGGGAGTGTCTAGGTTGTTTAATAAAATTGGGCCCAGGTCTCCACGAACCACAGAGATGGAGGATCCTCCCCGCAGCTCAGTAGTGCACCTGAACCCCAAGGCCTTGCTTGTGTGGTGGTGTGATGGAGTGGGTGGAGGAAGATGTAGGGATGGGGAGGAACAACTGAGGTGGCAATGCCCTCCCAGGGGGCCAGCTCCCCCACTGTCCCCAATAGGCACCCCCATTCCCCCAGATCCACCAGGGGAGGGAGGCTCCAGTGATCTGTTTCATATTGCTGCTGATCTGTTTCATGTTGCTGCTGATCTATTTCATGTTGCTGCTGATCTGTTTCAATGTTGATGTGTTCATGTGTGTCATCTGCTCACACAGACTCATGCTCATGTTCATGCTGCTGTTGGACGTAATGTTTTTATGCTGTTAGTGCTTAGTGTATATTAGTTGTTTTTCTTAGTTCATATCTTGGATGTTATCATTGTTTTGTTTTTACATTTTATTGTTGGATGTAACTGGGACCCTGTGGACATAATCTCGTTCCACCACATGTACCACTTGGGGTGCGAATGACAATAAAGAATCTCTGACTCTGACTCCAACATCTTCTGTGCAGCCTTCACCACTCTCTGCAAAGCTTTTCTTTCTGCAGCTGTGCAGCCTCCATGCCACACGTTGATGCTGGAGCACAGGATGCTCTCCACTGCACACCTGTAGAAGGAGGTGAGGACTGAGCTTCCAGACCAGCTCGTCTCAGCCGCCTGAGGAAGTAGAGTCTCTGATGAGCTTTCTTCATCAGGCTGGTGGTGTTGTTGCTCCAGCTGAGGTTGTTGTTGTTCATGTGTACACCCAAGTACTTGTAGCTGGAGACCACTTCCACCTCAGATCCTCTTATGTTCAGGGGGGTGTAGGTGTTTTTGTTCCTTCTGAAGTCCACAATCATCTCCTTTGTCTTCTTCACATTGATGTGAAGGTTGTTCTTCCTGCACCAGCTCTCCAGGTGTTCCACCTCCTGCCTGCAGCTGGACTCGTTGTTGTTTGATCTTTAACTTCTTGATCTGGTTTAATATAGATTTAAACCGGGTTTAGAGTTGCTCATCTTTAAGCCTCTGCTGGTCGATTTTCATTTCAGAAGCTCTGCCTCCACCTTTTGGACTGGAGGAGGTTTGTCGCTGGTTGTAAAGACACTTTTTAATCTTCTGGTCTGACACCGAGTCAGAGTAAAAATCATGGTTTCATCTTGATTCATCTAAAATTGGAAATGAAAGTGTGAAGTTTTAACTGAAAGTCTCAGCTGGTTGGTGTTTCTGTGGTAACGGGTTCGAACGCTGAAACTTTATTTTATTTTTTTATTGATTTCACTTCAGTTCATTTCTATTGTACCAAGTCACAACAGAACATCTCAGGGCACTGAACAGAAACATTCATATATAAAAAGTAAGTAAAGTGCATGTTTCTTTAAACAGCTTCTCTAAATAAATATAATATAAATACCTGCAGGACATTAAATCTGCTCCAGCTTGTGTTTCACGCAAAGACGCAGCTAAATATAGTTGATTATTACAGAAATACACACAGGAAGAGTGGACGTCTGCTGCTCGTAACCTGCAGGAGACTCCCACACATGTTGAACACCCTTTAACCCCCCCCCCCCCCCAACAGGTACAGGAAGTGTCTGCCTGAGGTCTTTGTCAGGGCCGGAGTTGTTTAACAGTCATTTAAAAACATTAACGTGTTGGTGAAGATAAAATCACTCCATGCAGCAGAACAAAAACTTACTTTCCTCAATTGTTTCCTTCTTCTATCAGCCTTTTCTAATCAAAGAGCTGCATTTTTATCTTTTACTTACAAGCAAATGATAAATCTTAAAGCAACATTATAACTGAATTTATTGAGGAAGCAGCGTCCACGAAGACGTTAAAATGTCTAAAAGTGAGTTGCAGCTTGCAACAATAAATCAGCTCAAGTCCTGGACGCCGTTTGTTCGTCCGGAGCTGAAACTACCCTGCTCCTCTGAAACTAGGTAAGTAGGTCTTTGTCTGCATGTGGTCTCTGCAGGTTTCTGCACCAGTTCCAGCAAGTGTGTCAGGGAAAAGTACACGAGTCCACCGTGTCGCTTCCAGCATCGACCGTGACGAGACGTTTTATTACAACGGTCACGACTTCGCCTCAGACCAGAATCTGGACAAAGTTCATTCTTTCAGGCCTCGATGCCTCAAATCAAATATGATATAATAAAATAAATATAATAAATATGATATAATGAAATAAATATAATAAATATAATATAATACAATAAATACAATATACAGACCTTTTCCAAAAAAATAGAATATCATGGAAAAGTTGTTTAACTTCCATAATTCCATTCAAAAAGTTAATCTTTAACAGATGACAGATTCAGGGCCCACAATTTAAATGATTTCAAATATTTGTTTATTTTTACATAATTTGAGCTTCCAGCTCATGAAACACACGAAAACAGGATTTCAAAAAATTAGAATACTGTGGAGACATCAGTCCACACGACTTCTCAGTTTTTGTAGAAAAATAAAGAAATAAATTAGGATCACAACAAATCAATCAAAATATGGTTCTTTCAAATCAATATATCAATCTTCAATAGTTGGTTGTGAATCTCTTTGTCTTAATCTCTGCCTCGATGTGACGTGACATTGACTGGAGTTATGGACGCCCAGACTTCCTTGATGCTGTCAGATCTTCTTTGTTGTTGCTCTGGTGCTCCTCATGTTCCTCTTGAGAAGACTCCATACATTCTCAATGGGGTTTAGGTCCGGCCAGTTGGCTGGCCAGTCAGGCTCTGTGGCATCAAACCAGGTTCTGGAGCTTCTGGTGGCATGGGCAGGGACCAGGTTCTGCTGGAAGATGAACTCTGCATCTCCATACAGATCCTCAGCAGAAGGAATCACGAAGTCCTCTAAAACGTTCTGGTAGACTGTTGCTGTGACCTTGGATTGAAGAAAGCAGAGTTTACCAACACCTGCACCGGACACTGCACCTCAAATCATGACTGACTGTGGATATTTCACACTGGACCTCCAGCAGTACGGGTTCTGTTCCTCACCCTTCTTCCTCCAAACCCTTGGACCTTGATTTCTGAAAGAAAGACACTTTACTTTCATCAGAAAAGAGGACCGAGGAACCAGACAGTTGTAGTCCATCTCCCGATGCGTCTGAATGTGGTGTTTTTGAAGCTGTGACTCCGGCCTCATTCCACTCTTTCTGGATCTCTGACAGATTCTGGATCTTCTCTGTTTGATGATCCACTGAAGCCCATGGTCATCTCTGTTGCTGGTGCATCTTCTCTTGACACATGTTGTCCTTCCACTAGACTTTCCATTGATGTGCTTGGACACAGCGCTCTGTGAACAGCCAGCCTCCTTAGCTATGAACTTTTGTGTCTTACCCATCCTATGGAGGGCATCAGTGATGGTCTTCTGGACAGTTATGTCTGCAGTCTTCCTCATATTGAACCAAACTGAGACAAATGAACCAAACTGAATAAATTTAAAGACACCTGGGGAAACCTGTGCAGGTGCTTTGAGTTTAGTAGATGATTAGTGTCACACTCAGTTTAAAACATTTATGTCCTGCAACATTTGGGCTGATGTCTTCACAGTATTCTAATTTTTTGAATTCCTGTTTTTGTGAGTTTTGTGAGCTGGAAGCTCAAATTATGTTAAAAATAAAACTTGAAATTGTTTAAATTGTGGGCCCTGACTCCATCATCTATTAAAGATTAACCTTTTGAATAGAATTATGGAAGTTAAACAACTTTTCCATGATATTCTAATTTTTTTGGAAAGGGTCTGTATATATATATATATATATATATATGCTAGGTTAACCCAGTAGGCTGCAGTTAGCAGCATGACCTTCAATGTGAAACGAGTGTGACCTCGCTGCATCATGTTTCATTTCAACACATTTTACGTTCCAACGTCTAATTAGGACAATGAAACCACACATGATGTAATTACACACGAGTGGCCGCCCCCTCGTTTGCTGCTGCTAAATACGACTCAGCAGAGGAATGGTCTTCGGCTACAATCGTCAGCCGACTCTTCAGTTGCATTTTTGTCTCTTCTGCTTGACGCTGTCTCGTGACAGGAACCGCAGCGCCCCCTGTTGTGTGGAGGTCAGAGTTTAACGTTTGTTTTAATGTCCTGATGCTGCTCAATAATCCAGGTAGATGAATCCGACCAGGTCCAGTCAGGTACTCTGGACGGATTCATCTTGTTGAAACGTTTTGTCTTTTATCCAAAGGACTTCTTCAGTCTGAGGAGCTGAAACAAACTCAGTCTTATAAATATCACCTTCTCATAGTGGATCAACCAGTTTGTTGTTGACATCCAGAACTAGCTGTTCACATGATCAAGGGCCATCAGACAAACGACGGATCGTTTGTGTTCTGATGGCTGTCTATTATTCACAGGGGTTGAGTGATACTAGCAATAACAGCATTGTAAGAGGGGACAGTTGGACACGGAGGCTCCGCCCCGTTTAATGATGGACGGGTTCTTTTCACAAAAATGGCCTCCTTCACTTCTCTCTCAAACAAACGTTCCTCTCTATCAAGGATGTGAACATCTTTTCAATCTTTTCCATCGTTTCAACATCAACTTTTATAAAAACACCACGGGAGCATGAAAGGTTAATTTTTATGTTTTATTTTAACTTTTTAATAAGAAATGTTGTACAAAAAAACATATTTGTGTTGGTAAACACAAGTTTTAATACTGAAACATTTAAAAATAAAGTCGTCTCTGGTTCTGAAGCGAACTCGCCGCTGTATAAATACTCGTATGTGAATATGAAAACAATGTGATAAAAACTGAGACAAAGTTAAATTATTCAATAAATAAAATACGAAAACGTGCTGCAGATGTTTGAATGTAATAAATCTGTTTCTTAGGAGGCCCGGAGACGTCGGTTAACGGTGGCGGCAGGGGAGGCGGAGCTGGAGGCGGATTTGGAGGAGGAGCTAGAGGCTGAGCTGGAGGCGGGTCTAGAGGCGGAGCTGGAGGCGGAGCGTCTGGGTGCCTCGCAGTAATCGTGCAGGTACGTGAACAGGATGTCGATCTCTCCCACAGCTTTGTTGATGCCTTGCTCGCCCTCCATCTGAAACAGATGTTAGAAACAACGGAAACACGTTTATTTGAGGATTCATCGAACGTTTGTTCGTTTATGAAAAACAAACAAATATAATACGTTAAAACTTCTCTTCAGAGCTGCTCAAAACGCTTATTTTCTCATTTTTATCTGTTCTGTATTAAATACTTTTATTTTGAAACATTCTAAACACGCTTTTATTACCTTAAATTAAGAGCTGTTTGAACATTTTTTTAAGTTCAACACAGCTCAGTTGTAGAGATTAGGAAAAAAAAACAAATTATTTTTTAAATTTGCGTTCAGCTTCAAAGATGTCTGCGCTTTTTCCCTTTTCTTATCTAAACGATAACGGCAGCGCTTCACAACGAAGCCGCAGCCTCCATCACCTCCGTCTACCCTTGTTTTCTTTGGACGGCTGCACTGAAATGTTTGTTCGTTGTGCTTAACGTGCAAAGACAATAAAGTTGATTCTGATTCTGTATAAAAGCAGAATAAAATCACAAATTCTTTAGTTTGAGAGGCAGAAATCTAAAACAAATGATAAAACTCCAGTAAAACTATCCTGATACATGCTCAATAATCCAGTAAATCCAG